GGGGGGGGGGGGGGGGGTGCAGCAACGCATGTTTGATGTTATGTTTCATTATGGTTACTGTTACTGGGTTCTGAATTGACCGTAGTTACTTATCAAGAAGGATGTCTGGAGAAGGGAAAATTATCTTGTGGAAAGTTGGGAACTATTTTTGGCCCTTTTTTCTCTCTCTCTCTCTCTCTCTAAAAACTACTCTATGTTCTTCTCTCAAATTCTTTTGGCCTTTCACTACCTTCCTCCCACTACTCCTAAGTATATATATATATATACTTCTCTGCCTACGGTTTACCGGGCAGTTCTATTTGACGATATATATATATATAGAGAGAGAGAGAGAGAGAGAGAGAGAGAGAGAGGACCCCCTGCAAGCATAGGGCCTCGCCAACGAGTTACATCATGTTACCCCCCGCGCCAACAGTGGTAGTCAGAGTTGGCGTTCATTTTTCTCGTGGGCGACGACTTTTTCCTTCTTTTGCTACAGTCTACCCCCGAATACAACGTACGGTCATTACAGCTGAATTTGGGGCATCTTTCAGTCTAAATTCAGCTATAATGACCGCACGTTGTATTCGGGGGAAGACTGTAGTCGCAGGAGTCTTGCATGCAGTCGTTTAGAGAGGTGACCATCTTCCTCACTTCTGCACACATGACAGTGAATTTCAGTTCTGGCCATTACACAGACCATTACGTTCCGACAGTGACCTTAACCAGCACCACGAGCACTACCGTCTTCCCCCGAACATAACGCACCCTGAATATGAACGTCTACAAGGTATGTTTCCGGCTCGGTACAGTCAAAATGAGGTTGCGTTGTGTTCGGGGGAAGACGGTAGAGGGGGTGCTTTCAAAAAAAAAAAGAAAAACCCAAGAGTGGGTACACCTTTGCACTGTTGAAATACATGCCCGAGTTCGAACCCGGATGATGGAACCTGATGAAACCAAATATTTCTGAATTGCCTGGGGCCGGTCAGCTCAATGGTGACATCTCAAGATCGTCGCTCTTTTTGAAAAAGAAATTAAAAAAAAAAAGAAAAGACCTAGAATAACCCCCATTCGAGTTTCATTTCGAAGGGGGGGGCGGTCTGTTGGAGAACAGACCGTTGAATGGTCCACATTCAAAAGAGGAACGCCTCCGGCGAATGACAAACTGGCTGCCAGGGGCTATATACACATCATGGCTAAGATCCAGGCATCGGGTGCCTGGTCCCGGTCCAGACTGTCTGGATCCAGATGTCCATCCAGATATCCGGTCCGGTCTGTCCGGGTAGGGAACAATTTTTCCCGTTGTTCAGTGCTGACCCCGAAAGGTATGTTCTTTTTCTTTCTCGCCCCTCGAGTGGTGCCAAACAGGGCGGGACTGAGGGCATACTCGCATGGGGACCTAGAGTAGCAAATGTTTGAGGGGTTTGGTACCGCCAATTTGCGACTTTGGGTACCCGTGCGGTCACACAGGCGGACTCCGTCCACAAAGGACACAGTCGCGGCGCTGGCCTTTGCACGTCCCAGGAACTGCACGTAATCATACAGCTTACACCCAAAAATATATACAGTTTTTTTTTTTTTTTTTTTCAATGCGGAATTGACACGCACAGGTGTTTTACCCATTCCCAAATTTCTTGAAATACCTCATGGAGAAAGAAAATTTTGAAAAGGTAATTTGAGGCCACCTCTGGAGGTGGTCTCAAAAAGGGTCCTCCTGCGGCCCGGCAGGCTGCTGACAAAAGGTTCACCAAGAAGTACATTTGGGCAGTGGGCCTTTTCAATTTTGGGATTTACGGTCATCAGGTCGCCGTGTGAGGGCATACTCACACGGGGGCCTGATGGCCTTAAATCCCAAAATTTGAGGCAGTTTTCGGGTCACATTGGAGAGGCCCACTACCCAAATGCCTCAAATGCTGACCCTTCTGTCAGCGACCTGCAGGGCCGTGGGAAAACCCTTTTGGTCTCAAATGACCTTTCAATTTTTTTTTTCCCATCTTACATTATTGCCAAAAATTGTCGAAGAAGAAAACAGTATGCCAAACAAATGACAAAAAATATGGCAATTGTATCTGACAAAAAATATGGCAATTGTATCTATCTATGTTCTAGCGGTGGATTCAGTCTCATTTTGCGCATTTGGAGAGTAGTGCAGCCAAGCCCATGTGCATTGTAAGGGGGGGGAGGGGAATCCATATACTTTCTTACATAATTTTGGAGTGTAAAAAACAGAAAGAAATTCCATCTACTCGTTTGGTCCTCACCCGTGTGACTATGCACACTTGCCCCGAGGGCGAAGTGTCAGGTACGTGACTTCGTCTTTTCTGGACGAAGTCCGCCCGTGTGACCACATGAGAACCTAAAGTCCCGAATAGGCCTGCCCAAATGCCTCAAAATTTTGAGACTTTGGTCCTAGTGTGAGGGCATACTCACACGGGGACCTGATGACCTCCCAAAATCCGAGGCAGTTTTCGGGTCACATTGAGAGGCCAGCTACTCAAATGTACTTTTCGGTGACCCTTATGTCAGCAGCCTGCGGGGGTTTTGAGACAACCTCTGGAGGTGGTCTGGTCTCAAATATCCTTTTCGATTTTTTCTTTCTCCGTTAGGTATTTCAAGAAATTTGCGCATGAGGAAAATAGCTGTGTTGTAGAGGCTGGATTCTGGACATATGAGTCACCTTCGGCACTCGGCCATGTGGCTGAGGCCCCCTATCCTATATACTTTTTGTGGTAAGCAGTGTGACTACGTGCACTTCCTGGGAGGTGCACACGTCAGGGGCGTGACTGTGTCCTCTGTGGACAGAGAACATGCACACGGGCACCCAAACGGGCAAATACATGGTACCAAACGTCCCAGATATTTGCGACTTTAGGCCCCCACGTGAGTATGCCCTGTGTGTGATATATATGCCCGGTACAAACAGAGCTGCCTGGTAAAGTGTAGGCAGAGAGGGAGAAGAGGACAAGAAACAAGGGGCTGTGACAAACTGTTTCATCGGAGTTTCACCGACTCATCAGGAGGCTGAACCAGAGAGAGAGAGAGAGAGAGAGAGAGAGAGAGAGAGAGAGAGAGAGAGAGAGATGCGAAGGAGGGGAGGGAGGAAAGGAGCTGGAGCATTTCTTTTCTCTGTCTTTTTCTGATCTTCTTTTCCTCCCTTTTTCTCTGGCCATTGCGCTAAACCCACACCCCCATGGATCACTTAACCCCACTTGATGGGCCTTCAATCTGGCCGGCATTCCAAGTTGAACGGCCGTTTGAATGCCCCGTCCAAATGATTGGTTCTGTTCGAAGAGTGATTCAAACAAAACTCAATGGCACGTTCGCCGTTCGCCACTCAGAGGGATACATCGCACGAGTAGAAACGAGAGTATGCTGACTTTGGCAATGTTTCATGCTTAGACTATTTGAAGAAAAAATATGAAAAACATTAGGGTTATAGATGGAGTGGTGGTCTTGGCAAGAAAGCCACCCCACCAGTACCTCGCCAGGCCAATTTTTGCCGACCCAGCCATTAACGCGGTGCATAAAATTTGACCCCCAAACCCTAATTCAGTTTTCGACCTGTTACTCAGGAAGGGCATAGCCGCTCCCCTCCCTCCCCCCTCCCCCCCCCCTCTCCCCCCTCCTTGCCACAACAACATCTTCTGATGCCATCTCTCCCTGGCGACATGCATGATGCCAAACCCCTTGCAGGCGTTTAGACGTCATTCGTGGATGCTCCGTACATGACAGAACTATGACAAAAGCAAAGAATGGCACAACCATGTGTGTCTTGTGAATTCTTTGCGTGTTAACTGCACCCAGCAAGCACAGAGGCATTCAGCGGCGAGGAAACATAATAGTCGCTGAAGAGTTGAGGTGGGGGACGGGTGCGGGTGCACCGCACCAACATCTTCTCATGCCATTTCTCCTAGGCTAGGAGATTAGATTTCCAAGAACAGAAGATATGAAACAGAGCAGTTGAGGGGGGTGCATAGCGCCCCTATGCCGCCACACACATCACCTTCTCATGTCATCATCTCCCCTTGCACTAACATTCTAGTATGCATGCATATGTTGCTACTAACTTGCTAGTATGACCCGGTAGCATTTTAGACTGCTACAGATGGGCTTACACTGAATCACGGCTGGGTTACCCTCCTCCAACCTCGCGGGTATCGTCCACGTGCCAGAAAGCAGTGAAGATCTCGGCTGTGTTACGCTCCTCCAACCTCATGAGTATCGTCCGCGTGCCAGAAAGCAGTGAAGCGTACGGGGGTATCGTCCACGTGCCAGAAAGCAGTGAAGATCTCGGCTGGGTTACCCGCCTCCAACCTCATGAGTATCGTCCGCGTGCCAGAGAGCAGTGAAGCGTACGGGCTATGTACGTGTGCCCCAGCAGTGAGTAAATTGTCGTTCCGTTTGCCCGCTTGGGTAAAATTTTGCAGGCAAGGGGACAGACTCAATGTTTTTGAGAGGCACCCGATCTGGTGGTTAAGGCCCGGATTTTCCGATAACACGGTGTCAAAAAATCTTATCTTTTCTAATACGATACTGTGCATTGATATCCCACAGTCAGATAACATCTGGCAAACGATACGCGGGTTGATTGGAGGAGGAAGACATGTATAGACTCTATAGAGAGAGGTAAATCTCTGAAGTTCGAACTTTGATGGGTAAGGTAGGGCCCACTGACAGTAGGGAAATGCAAAGGTAGAAACTACTAGAAAGAACTGAGGACAAGATCCATTTTCTTTCACAAACACAGCACCAGTGGGGCAAGGAAAGTCGGCGCTGTGAGGGCCTAGGTGTCACCAGTACTGTGTCTGTGGTAAGCTAAAATCAAGCTGGTCAGCTTTTCCGCGGCCTTTTTTTTTTTTTTTTTTTTTTTTTTGTTGTTGTTGCTGTTGTAGAGGCAGGGTATCAGGAGCGGGAGTGCTCTTTCGGGTTCAATCAATCGGGGTTCGAGA